GTAGACATTTTCCATGCAAAATTGCAAATAGGTACATGTTTCCAGTGCAGTGACAATTTCATTTGCCTGCTGTTGTTCTGAGTAGATGAATGTTACATAATGCTAGTACAGCCTAGGATGTAAAAGAGAACAATAGTAACCAATTGGGGGAAAGATGATTGACCAAGTGTCTACTCACCTGCACATGATATTTTTAATTATTTTTATTTTTATATAGTACCTTGTAAGAAATCTGCTCTGTGCAGAAAGCAAGAAAACAGCCAGACTTTTACTGATCCACAAATCCTTATATTGTATTCACTTCACTCTACACAATTGTAACATGCAGAACTCTAGTTTACCATCAATTAACTTGGAAGTTATTTAATATTTATTTAGGATAAATGATTAAATTGTTATATTGTATTTTAATTGCTATTTATCTTTTCTGTAAACCGCCCAGAGTTGTTTTTTTTAATAAGATGGGCAGTGACAAATCTGACAAATAAATAAGTAAATAAATAAATTCAAACTCATAGAACCTTGGTACTGATTTAGCAGTAGCTCCATAAGATTGAGATCAGCAACAAAGGCAAATAAGTCTAGTTCAGCTCATAAAACAGTCCTATTTGTCATACAGAAATTTAGGAAGAGCAACAGGAAGATTTCTACAGTAAAGATTCCAGTTTTGTTCACCATCTTATGTATTTTGTGTATCCAGCACTTACTTGTAATATCGAATTGCATGTGCCATTTGTCAGGCTATGCCAAAAAGACAACCCAATTTCATTACTATGGATACATCTACATACTGTATATGTTTACCAATCTACCAAAATTTACAAATTTGCACACAATCAAGCAGCAAACACATGCCAATCAAAGAACTACCAGAGGAGCAAAACAAAACCCCCCCCCCCACCAGCACTGGCAAGGCAGGCCACAGCACACAAATAGAGCGCAAACCCCATCCCATTTTAGCACTGAAGATATGACCCAGCCGGGTAATGAAATGTTTGCAAGAAAAGAACCAAGATCAGAGGACCCTACAGACTCCACAGAATTCTATTACTATTTTTAAGTGAATCACTCCTAAATGATGTGAAGGAACATAGTGATGGATCCCAGATACAGCATGAGAGCTACCAGCCCTTAGTTATCAATTCTTTGTTCCTTCGCTTTGATTGATTTCAAATCCCTTCTATCAGGATGTTAAATGAGAAATCAGGCCAAAGGTTCCTCCATTCCAAATTCTCTCTGGCTAATCAATTGCCCTGAGAAATTAATGCCTTTGATACAGTATGCATTCCAAAATTAAGTGTAATCTATATTTAAATAATGGTGGTTTTGTTTGTCTTCTTATACCTAAAGAAAATACATGAATGAAAGAAGCCTAAGGGAGCTAAGGCACTTAAGCATCGAAGGGTTATATTGAATAAAGGGGCAATTAACTACACTTTCATTTAAGGAAATCAACACCATCAGTTGATTTTTGAAAAGATTTTTTTAAAAAATTTTCTGGCAATATGCCTGACATACCCCATTAAAGACATGTAATTTGTGTGTCTGTCTATGTGCATGTATGTTGTCTTCTCCTTCTTTGACCATGTGAAGCTTTCTCCAAGGAAGAAAGGCAACACAAACAAGGATTGAGGGGTTTTCTTTTTACATATCTATTGAAATAGACATCCAGACAGCTATAGACATCTGTTCCTATGTCAACACATTAATTATCTGCTTCTGTTACTTTGCCCACAGGCATGTCATTTGAGTTCTACCCATTCCAATATGTCTTTTTTTATTGGATGACCTTCACTTTCTTTATGATCCTTGGCAGGAACGGACCTAGCCCAAGCAGCAAAGGCTAATTGAAAGAAAAATAGATTCTTTGAAAATAAGTTATTTTCCACAATTTTTACAACTGTTCTAGCCCTATTTTGGCTTTACTTTTATTTTATTCAGCAGTAATTTCAGAATCCTAACTTTGGGCCACTTTTGCAACATGATGACTATCTTGGGGTGGGGTGGAGGGTCACATGTGCCTTCTTTCTCCTTATCTCTGACTCATGCTTTTCATACCTTCTCTTTCTCTCTCTTTCTCCCCCTCTTACTTTAGTTGTTGTGGTACTATTTTGTTATATGCAACATTGCCCTTGACTAAAGAAACAACATCAGGAAAGGGAATGTATTTCTCCATCCACTTAGACCTGTCTCCCTGTGTGCCATCCAACTTGGCTCCATAGGATTTACAGCAGATTTGGAGGAGAGTGCAACAGGCCCCAGGAGAAGGATAGGACAAACTTACCTAATGTTGGATCTCAGGTTCTGCATGGAAAAGTATCAGAATATATCTATATTCTAATACTTTTCCATGCATAACCTGACAGATGAATGGAAAGTGGACATAAGGAAAGAGGATGTGGACGTTGCTTGGAATAGAATGAAAAGAATTGTAGTAGAAAGTGCCACAGAATGGGGTTAAGTCAGTTTAATGAGAGTATCAAAAAGTATATTTGATGGAGTGATTAAATGAAAGAGGCTCCAGGCAAGAAAAAAAATGTTCATAAAGAAATGATTGTTGCAAACAGTGAGGATGAGAGAAAGACTCTGTATAATGTGTCTAGAAATAAAAAATGATAATTGTAAAGAATATAGCAATGAACAGTTAAAAGAGATAGAGAAAATGCAGAATAATTTTGATGGAAATAGAATCTTTTTGGAAGTGGGTGAGAACAGCTAAACAAGGAGCCTCCAGCAGAATGAATTGAGTTAAAAATAAGTGATGACATTATTTGGGATGAAATGGAACTGAAGGAATGCTGGAAGAAATATTTTAGAGATGTGTGTAGGAATCATAATGATAAGTTGAAAAATAGAATTGGCATGAATGCTATGAAAAGAGATGGAAAGGAAGCCCTAAATGAAATGAAGTATAGTGTGTAAACTAGTTATGG